AGATATGAAAAATTAGAGTTTAAAAGATAAATCCAATATATATATATTAACATCTAGTGCTATTCAATATTTATAAGAGTATTATATAAAAAATACAACCCTATTCAATATATAAAAGGATATTATACAAAAAAAAAATCTTATTTAATATTAAAATTTAAAAAGCAAATTCAAAATATATTTAACCGAATACAAGAAAAAAATTGGATCTAGTTGATTTTTATTAATTAGGAACAAATTATTAATTAAAAATAAATTAACAACTAAGAACGAATTTTGATGTTCTTGTCTTTGTACTTTTAATGATTACGAAAGTACCTTAATGGCTGAGTTTTAATTTTCAATAAGCATTCTTGCTTTTTGTTTATTAAAAATAATTTTTTTTACAATGTCATATGACATAATGCATTATGTGTCACCTAATTTAATTTTTTACGCGAGTACCACCAAAGAGAAGGATTAGAGAACTTGAGATGAAAAAGAGGAGAGCTAGAGTGGAGAAGAGAAAAAGTTGAGAGAAAGTGAAATTGATAAGAGATTATGGTTTGAGTGTTTTATTTTTTTATACTTTTAGGATTTAAAAATTTAAAATTTAAAATTAATTTTTAAGTAATTTAATAAAAATGAATAAAAAAATTCGAGTCATTTCGGATGACTCGACCCACCCATGACTTAAACCATTTAGATTCAGATAATTTCAGTCTAAATCATTTCAGATTTTGGATTAACACATAGAACCCATAACCCTACCCATAACAAATGGATTAGGTCGAATTTTCAGATTAGATCCAATTTTATCAAGCCTACTGTGAAGCATTACTTGTCTCATACTATTTTTGTATGTGTGAATTATATAATACATATAAAATTTTGAATTATTTTGAAATTATGATGTCTTATTTGCACTTAGCCTTCAGGCCTATTAACATTAGTTATGTTGAAAAAAAGGTGCACTTTTCCCTCCCATTAGACCTGCCTATGTTAACATGTTTTAAAAAAAAAATTATGATGTCTTATTTGCACTTAGCCTTCAGGCCTATTAACATTAGTTATGTTGAAAAAAAGGTGCACTTTTCCCTCCCATTAGACCTGGCTTCCATCTCACCCTATGTTAACATGTTTAAAAAATATATATATATGATGTGTTATCCTTATTATTATTATTTTTTTATACATGTTAAAGAGGGGCAAGGTGTAACCTAGACGTAAGAGGAAGGGGAGTACATATTTTTTTAATGTGTGTAATGTTATTAAACTCGGAGTCAGGTGCAATATCTTAGCCTTACTTGTTTTATATTGTTTAAAAAAAATATTATTGTAATTCAATAACTATGACTTTTTGAAAAGTATAACAACATTAAAAAATATAAGATTTAAAATTTGATAATCTCATCGATGCATCCTCTAATTATATTAATTTAAAAAAATTTGTGTAACAAGTGTTTTTAAATATATATAATATTATATATAAATTGATTCATATCAATCTCGATTTTAAAAAAAATTAAAATTTTAATTTATATTCAAAAATTAAAATTTTAATTCAAAATTTTAATTAATTTTTAATCTAAATAAGATTGTAATATTCTTAATTAGTCATTACTTTTTAAAATAAGAATAAAATTAATACTAAGAATAAATGCATTAAACTAAGTGAAGTCTTAAAAAAAAGTAGACAATATTTCAAATTAAATTAATAAAAAGAATA